CGCCGGGGGGGGCGGGCCCAGCCACAGAAGCAGGGCCCTGGGCCAGGCCTCGGGTTCCCAGCAAACAGAGCCGAAGCCCTGGGAGACCCCAGCTCCTCACTGCTGCCACAGCAGGCCGAACGGTGGTGCTGCAGCCCAGGGCCCGCCGTGCCAGGCTAGGACGCTCAGGCCGGGGCTTCTCACTTGCTTTTCTTGTGTTTGTTTAAGTCAGAGGGCATGCGTGCTCACCAAAAAGAGACAGAGACAGAGACAGAGAGCAGAAGGCATCCCCAGCGGCCACAACACAATCCCTTCTCCGTCCTTCACCCTGCCGGGAGTGTGGGCGCACGGCCTGCATGGTCCCCAAGCTGCCAGGGCCAGGACTGGAGCTGCCGTCGCCACAGGGATCTGACTGCCTTAACCGCTGCTCGTGGGCGTGGCCAGGGCCAGGGCCGGGACCGGGACCGGAGAAGCTGCCGTGCCTCACGCACGGGTGGACTTGGAAATGAGACCGTACCCGGGCGGGTGCTGTCGGCTGGCAGCCGTCTGGGTGAGCTCGATTTTCATAAAAGGTGATGTAGGGGCTGGAGCTGCACGAGGGGACCCCCCATCTCAGATCCAGTCGGGGCGCACGCCAGACCAGCTCAGCCCGGGAGGGGCTCTGGCACGCCTTCCCCGCCCACACCTGTGGGGACAAACACACACAAAGCGTGGCTTCACTACCTGTGGCCACTTCCCCTGCGACTGTGCCCTCCTCTTGATCTCTTCCACCGTCTTCCTGCGAGAGTCCTGGTCGGACCGCGACACGAACACTGGCCGTATGTACCGGATCAGCGCTGCAAGAGAGGGCCGCTCCTGAGGTCGCCTGGCTGCCCCCGGCTGCCACGGTCCTCAGGGTTAGCCGACGGGTCAAGAGAGGGCAGCTCCTGAGGTTGCCCGGCTGCCACACTCCTCAGGGTTAGCCGACGGGTCAAGTCCCTGGTGTGGTGATGGCACCCAGGAGACGCATTCTGCCCGGCTCTAACCCCTGCACCACAAGGCCTGCATGCTACACAGGTACAAGCTCTTCCTACCGTGAGGACTGCGGTCAGCTCGCCAACAACAGCGGCAACAGCCAAAGGCTGGTCCCTCGCAGGAGGGTTCAGAAACACTCTTAGGAGACAGCTGGGCAGAGGTTAAACTAACTCCACCCCAGGTGGAGACGGCGGGCCGTGTGGGGACTCGTGCCCAGTCCTCGCTGGCCCTGAGCTCAACGCCGGGTTCCCCATGCCTTCCCTGGTGTCGTTCTTCCTCTGACCCTCAAAGAGCCACACAGGGCCGGAGGGCAGGGCTGCAGCCCACGGCCCGGCTGGGCTGACCACATGGAGGGGCCCTGGCCACGCCCGCGGCCTCAGAAGGTGCTGGGTGTGAGCACCCACTCCCAAGCTGTCTGGGCGCGGGGCTGGGCCTCGTCAGTGGCCCTGCATCCTCTCTCCCTCACAGAACCCATGATATTTAAAAATTAATTTTTAAAAAAGAGCAAAAAATTTATAAAAAATTTATAAAATAAGTCCTATCTTGCAAATACATTGGGACCTGGGGGCCCTTCTGTAAGACCAAAGGTGCACGTGGTCTCGGCGTCCTGGTCCCCATCTCGCCACCGTGCGGACTAGCTCGCGTCTGCTGTCCCCGACACTCAGAGCGTGAGAAGGAAGGCGCGGTGGAGCCCCAGCAGCGTGGCCTGGCGCCTTCCCGGGCAGAGCGCCCGCGGCCCCAGCGGCCTCGGCTGTGCGTCCCACCAGCAGCTTGCGGGGGCAGGACGCCCTCCTCTTTGCGGTGTGGAGCAGAAGCGCGCCAGGAGGGCTGAGCTGACCAGGTGTGCGTCCACAGGGGCGGCCCGGATGACTGTCCTCACTCGGGCACTGCCCACGGCTCATACGGCTCCCGAGGACAAACGGCCCTCGTCGGCGAGTGCCACTGAGGGATGCCCCATGCTGCGTGTGGACAGCCGTTTGGCCGCCGGCCCCACAGACAGACCGCCATCAGAGCGCCGTGTGTGCCACGTGGGAGAGTGGGCACAGGTAACGCCACGTGGAGAACCCCCTGGGCCGGCCGGAGGGGGCTCTGCAGGCCCCACGTCGGTCTCCTCGCCGGATGCTGAGCCACCCGAGAGCCCAGTGGCGTCATCTCTGTGCTCGGTGGCGAGGACACACGGGACCCACATGCGGGAGTGCGCCTGTGTCCTCAGGACGGTGCCCCTCTCTGGTCTGTCACCCGGGGCACAGTGAGGTCGGGGAAGCTCGGTACCCGCCTCCTAGTCCCCACACGCTGGTCCCCCGTGGTACCCGCCTCCTGACCCCTGCACGCTGGTCCCCTGCGGTACCCGACGCCTCCTGGCCCCCACACGCTGGTCTCCCGCGGTACCCGCCTCCTGGTCCCCGCACGCTGGTCCCCCGCGGTACCCGCCTCCTGGTCCCCGCATGCTGGTCTCCCACAGAATTCAACACCTCCTGGTTCCCGCATGCTGGTTTCCTGATAAATTCGACTCTTCCTGGTCCCCGCACGCTGGTCCCCCGTGGTATCCGCCTCCTGGTCCCCACATGCTGGTCTCCCGTGGCCCCTCCTGCTCAGCTTCAAGTCAGCCTCGCAATGACTGAGCAGTGCCTGGGCTACCAGGAAGGCCCTGCAGCCGGCCAGTCCCCTGCCCCTGAGGCGCCTGAAGCTGTCCCACCTCAGCCCGGCAGTGTCGGCCCCTCCCTGGACTCAGGCAGGGTGGTGGCTGTGACCCGAGTGCGAAGACTCCAACCGTGACCATCTGGGGCAGCCGTGAAGGCCACCTTCCTCCCAGGCTCGGAGCCCCCAGGGATGCCCTCCGTCAGGCCCTCGCAGGGCCCCAACGCCCTCAGGTTCGAGGGTGGGTGAGGACCCCCCAGCAATGACAGCCAGTCCTGGACTCCTGGCTGTCGCCCCCTGTGCCTGGCTCTCAGGAGTTCCTGGGAGCGCGGTGGCGACCTTCATCGGAAACCCGGGCTCTCGGTTCCTGCCCTGTGTCTGAGACCCACACTGCCGTCCTGGCGTGCCCGTCCCCGTCTCGCTGGGTATGTGGAAGGTGTGGCTCCCACTGTTACTGTGACCATGTCCTCAGGCGAGCTGCCACTTCTGACCGGGATGAGGCTCCTCGGGCCCTAACTGCCGGCCACCGGCTTCTGCAGTGTGAGCTGAACTGAGGCGCATGGCAGGCAGTAGGGACCCCTGCTCGTGGCCTGGACAGACGAGTGCTGGCCGACAGCGCTGCCACTTCGAGACCAGCCGAGCCCCCAGCCGTGCTGCGCCGTGCTGCGCCGTGCTGCCTCACCTGTCCGGCCTGCATGCACCACACTCTGGCCGCAGGCCCCCAAGCCCACTGTGAGGACCTGGCGTCTCCCATGACCAGGCCTGGACTGGGACATGGAAGCTTCTGGAAAGCTGCCAGAGAAGCCAGAGCTATGGGGCACTACCACTGCTGCCCCGATGAACCCCTGCTCAGTGTGTGCTCTGTGGGTGCTCACTGGGAAGGATGCAGACTGGGGTGACAGCCAGGGTCCTTAGGGCTGCAGCCCACAAACACGGGGTGTCTGCGTGGTCTGACAAGGGTCAGGAGACAAGAGCTGCCGCCACGGTGAAGGCCACAGAACTCGGGGTGACAGGGAGGCGCCGTCCTGTGCCAACAGCCTTCTTGGTGCCCGAGAAGTTTCCTGGAGATGCCAGGTCTTTCCAAGCTCTGGGGAGGGGCCGGGCTGGCCCTGGCTCTGAGCGCGGCACAGACGCGGGAGAGCAGACCCCTCGGCCCTCCTCGCCCTGTCCTCAGACGGCCACGCACCACTGGGGTGCAGGAAGGGCCGAGGCTCCACCCCGAGGCCGACACCCTCTCAGGTCACTCAGCAGGTATCTGTGAGGCTCACCCTAACGGGGCAGTCCCGCGCAGACACACGGACACACACAGGGAGAGCCACGCACAGACACAGACATGGGCACGGACAGGGAGAGCCACGCGCACACACAGGCACGCACAGGGAGAGCCACGCGCACACACAGGCACGGACAGGGAGAGCCACGCGCACACACAGGCACGCACAGGGAGAGCCACGCACAGACACAGGCACGCACAGGGAGAGCCACGCACAGACACAGACACGGACAGGGAGAGCCACGTGCACACACAGACACGGACAGGGAGACCCACGCACAGACACAGGCACGGACAGGGAGAGCCACGCGCACACACAGGCACGCACAGGGAGACCCACGCACAGACACAGGCACGGACAGGGAGAGCCACGTGCAGACACAGGCACGGACAGGGAGAGCCACGCGCACACACAGGCACGCACAGGGAGACCCACGCACA